GTCCTTTGGTGCTTGGGTGGAATACTCGGTAGATGTCTGTTAAGTTCATTTAATATATGCTATTGTTTAATTCTGATGTCTCTCTGTTAACTCTCTGTCCTGTTGACCTATCTAATGGAGACAGTGGGGTATTGAAGTCACCTACTGTTAATGAGTTGGAGTTAACTCTTAAAGTCCTGTAGTATTGTTTTTATGAAGTTGGGTGCACTAGAGTTAGGTGAACATATTTTCATGATTGTCTTCTTGGTTTGTTGTTCCTTTGATCAGAATGAAATGGCCTTCTTTATCTCTTCTGATTAGTTTTAGTTTAAAGTCTATTTTATCAGATATTAGAATTGTAACACCTGCTTTTTTCTTAGTATGATTCACTTGGTGCATTTTTTCCCACCCTTTCACCTTAAGGTAGTGCCTGTCCTTGAAGATGAAATGGGTTTCTTTCAGATATCAATAAGATGGATTTTGTTTCTTAATCCATTCAACTAGCCTGCATCTTTTGACTAGGGAGTTCAGTCCATTGATATTTAAAGTTATTATTGAAAGATGTGTATTTGTTGCTATCATTTTGATGTTTTGTTTCTTAATCCATTCACATAGTCTGTGTCTTTTGACTGGGGAATTAAATCCATTAATATTTAAAGTTATTAATGAAAGGTGGGTATTGAATCCTGTCATTTTTATTTCTGTTTACATTCTTGATATAGTTGTACCTTTCCACAGTTATACCTTTATTGAATTTCTTTCCACAATCCCTTGGGGATAGTCATTCCTTTCTTCAGCTCTCTGTATTGCTTCCAGAACTCTCTGAAGGGCTGGTTTTGTGGACATGAATTCCTTCAGCCTATTTATGTCATGGAAGATTTTTCATTCCCCTTCAACTATAATAGACATTTTGGCTAGGTATAGTAATCTGGGCTGGCACCTGTGGTCATTTAAAACTGGGAATACTTTGGTCCAGGCTCTTCTGGCTTTCATAGTTTGCACTGAAAAGTCAGCTGTAATCCTAATGGGTTTTCCTTTATATGTGATTTGGTGTTCTGTATGCTTCTTGTATTTGTATGGGGATGTCTTTCTTTCAGTTTGGGAAATTTTCTTCCACAATTCTGTTGAAGATGTGTTCCATGCCATTGTCTTGG